TAATATCCTACGCTATTTCCTTTGGAAACTATATACCCTGTTGAAGTGCCAAAAAAATAAAATATAATACAGGGAAACAAGTGGTACAGTATTTCATTGGCAGAGGCCTATACTAATATTTTTTTTAAATGTATGATCTTATACTTATACCCTCAACTGACTATGGGTAGCTGCCATCCATTTTTTATTTTTTATTTATTTATTTGGACATACACTTTTCAAACAGTGGCACACTTTGAAAGAACAAAGGTGCATCCTATAATGTTAACAAAAGCCAAAACAAAACATCAACAACGTTACAGAAGTATCAAAAAGGGAACTTAACACTATAAAACACTTATACTAAAACAAAATTATTATACTAGCTACAAAATCAAACTTATCATATCTATATTAGCATCCACATCTTTTTAAAAAAACTACTGTACCCATTCTCATTGTTATTTCTTTCATTACACCCTCATATCTTATAGCAATGTAGAGACAAAGAATACAATCAAGTAAATGAATAACTTTAAAAAAAAATTAACTAGACTTAATTGCTACGTCTGTTTGAACAACAGAACATAAGGGTTTTCCCAATTGCTTTAATGAGAAATGAAGTTGAAATTGCAACAAAAACAATAAAAGTCAATAAAAGGTATAAAGTAAAAAAAAAACACGGAAAACCAGATATATAATTTTAATGAAGTGGAAAAAAATTAGGTGAAAAAAAACAAAAAAAAACAAAACCAAGTTCACTGCGACGTTATGGTGAGACTTGAACTATGGCTACAATGGTAATAGCGAGGTACATCGTGACTCATAACCATTACACGCCATATGAGCCGACCTTGAATAGAAAAGTGCATTTTCAGTTCATAGCGATTCAATGATTGAAAGCAAAAATAGTTCATGCATATCTCGGTAGTTTTGAGTTTAACCTAGCTATAAAAGGTTTAAGCACATTAGAAAACGCAAATTGCATTTAAATAATTTAATAAACTGTCAACAAAAAATCTTTAAATGGTCCTCATATCCAAACCCTACTGCGGATCGTCACCAAAATTGGATCATTTCTTCATTTCACCATGAAAAACTACCGTATTCTGCAAAGTGTCATTTTTATCCATCTATAACTGGGACATAAGCAATTTAAATGACCCTCAAATTTACACCCTAACCTGTATCGTCCCTTACACATAATATCTTCCTTGTAACTTGGGTTAAACTTTCCCGAAAGTTTCATTCAGATCAGTTGACCCATTTTTGAAATATCTGGTCTGGGACATTTTCCTTTAAATGATCCTCATATTCACACCCTACGTCGGATCATCACAAAAATTCTGTTATTTCTTAAATACTGGATCTTTACAAACTATTATAGAAAGTTTCATTTACACCATTGAAAACTTTTCATAGATATTTACGTCTGGGATCTCAAAAATTTAAATGACCCTCAAGTTTACACCCTTGACTGATTCATCGCTAACAAATAATACTATCTTCCTCGTAACTTGGTCAAACTTTTTCTGAATGTTTCATTCAGATCAGTTAATCTGTTTTTGAAATATGTGGTCTGAGACGTTTTCCTTTCAATGGTCCTCAGATCTACACCCTACTCCTGATCGTCACAAAAATTTAATCATTTCTTTACACGACCTTGACAAACTGTTATACTGTACAAGGTTTAAATTATCCACTGATTTTTATAGAGAGATATTTAGGTCTGGGTCCTCAAAAATTGAAATGACCCTCCAATTTACACCCTAGACTGATTCGTCGCCAGCACATAATAATTTCATCCTTGTAACTTGGTTAAACATTTTCCGAATGTTTCATTCAAATCAGTTGATCCGCTTTCGAAATATGTGGTCTGGGACGTTTTCCTTTAAATGGTCCTCGGATCCACATAATACTGTGGATCGTCACAAAAATTTAATCATTTTTTTACAAGACCTTTACAAAGTATTATAGAATGTTTCATTTAGATCCATTGGTTTTTTTTATTTAAAGAGATATTTAGGTCTGGGTCCTCAAAAATTGAAAAGACCCTCAAATTTACACCCTTCACTGGATCGTCACTAACACATAAACATTTCTTCCCTGTAACTTGATTAAACTTTCTCGTATGTTTCATTCACATCAACTGATAGGTTTTTGAAATATCCGGTGTAGACTGTTTGACCTTAAATCACTTTAATCGGTCCTCACACGCACACCCCACCATAGATTGACACTAAATATTAGGAGGCACATCCTTGATATATGGCCTATGCTTCGGCAAAGCATGGAAAAATTCTATAGAACATGGGAAGTGACAAAAGTGACAGCCAGAAAAAAAAAACAGTGCAAAAATATAGGAAAAATATATGCAAGAAAAATGGGAAAAAAATCAGACAAAACAAACAAAAAAATGGCTTTTTCCAGTACTGCTGAGAAAAGCAAGCATAGACAGTTGTTAGGGCATGGAAATGCCATAAAATGGAGTTTGTGACATAAATATGTTTTTTTGTACAACCACCAATTAGGTTTGGTTTACGGCATTAGAATACTGTACTGACTTTGAGCCTAATCACTCTTATCATGACGGCCCAGGGCCACCTTAAATACGGCCTAATCAACAGGCCCTTCCCCTTGCGGTACAGTATTTTATGTCAGCTCTGGGTCGCACTGCGAACATTCTCACTTTCTCCTTTGCGCCTGGTTTTTGCATAAAGTGTTATGGTATAAGATGTCGAAATTGACCTTTATCATAGCGACCTTGGTGACCCAAGTTTGGTTTATGTTCAGATATGAAGATGAGTCGGACCAGGTCCTGCATGGGATACTGTAGGCTAGACTATGTTGACATAAAGTTAGTGAACAGTACCTGGCGTCAGAGTTTGTTTGAGAACATTAGTCTGATTACAGTACATTGTAAACCTTCACTGTATGCCTACTGTACCATACATTCATCTTCAAAACCACAGCGCATCCTGTGTTACGAGGTTTTTCCACCATGTTCTTTTGTTCTACTTTTTAGCTGGCCTTTTTTTTGCAAATCAATTTGATGCAAAATGGCCAGAACAGCTCTTTGGCATGAATTTCAACAAGGTAACTTGTGTGATAAGAATTATTTATATAGCACAGGTGCATATCAGATATTAAAGGGGTAGTAACGTGAAGGGGTTTTGATTGCAGAGAATTTTCCCAATTTTATAAAATAAGAACATTTTATGTCAGGTTTTAAAGGGTATGAGTTAGGGATCGATCAACATTTTCACAAGTGTACAAACAGTACGCTAGTGGGTAGACAAATTTTTACTCTTATGCATAAAAATGTTGATTCAAAATAACATGCAATATGTAAAATAGTAGTAAAATCATAATGTAACCATGGATATTCATTTTTAAGCAACCTAAGTACATTGCTTTAGTTGAGTTCACTAAAAAATGGAGAAATGGTTTTGCAAAATCAATGCTTTTTTGTACACTTTCAAAGTGGAGGGAGGGGGTACCGAAAGTGAGTACTGCTTGTACACTTGTGAAAATGTTGATAATTGTGAACTACCCCTTAAACGAAACCAAAATATACACATAACAGAATTCAATTTAGATTGTTCATTCCTTGGCACAGGGCTAGTTGTATAGTGTATATACAGACATCAATATCTCAACTATGAACTACTGTACTGCACGAAAAAATGAGAATAACTCTTAGGAGCAGATGTCGCATGTTATGCTACTAACTTGGAACCGGTGTGCAGGGCTGATAACATTACAAGTATTCTAATATTTGGTAGTGGAAAAAAAGCACTTTAAATCTGAAAACTCTATCCCCTCTTGTGTGAAAAATAGAGTTGTGATGAGGATATGCCTAATATGGGTTTAATATATGACATAATTATGCCGACGTGTCACAACATCATGCCCATATAAAGGCAAATGTGGAAAAAGCATTTGATAAGTGCCTATATAAGGGCAAATCAGATATATATATGGCAAACTGATAATGTGGAAAAAGTATTTGATTGTGCCATGTAGCATCACCGTGACCGACACTACCGTCATCAAGCTTTGCCAACATCGTGGCTATTTACACAAATATTTTTAGTGAATTTATGATCCGATTGAATTCCTCATACTGTACAGCGTATTTTCAGCTTGCTGATTGCTTCTCCAACGTCTTGACGTCCAAGCACAGGACAAGAGTTCAGATGAAGCCTACGGGCAGGTTATTAACCACCGAGCATCACATGAATAATGCAACAAGCCGAGGAGCTCATCGATTGTTCATAATACTCACTCGTTTATCAATTGTGTTATAAAACACACTATGATGTCATGCAAGCATTTATCATTGTAATTCTGTCTGGAATTTTTTCAAATGCACATTTTGAATGATGTGGAAAAAACCTTAGTATATTTTTTTGGTAAATATTCAGTGGTGGATTTGAACCAAGCTTAATGGTTGAAAGACTAAATCACCACCACTGGCTAAGCACCTTTAAAGAATAACAGCAAATAGATGGTGGTACAAAAATATATTAAACTTGTTTATAATACATCAACGTAATTAATCAATTCCATGTAGAACAAACGGTGGTTCAAAAAATAAGAAGATAATTTTTACTAAATAAAAACTCAACTATTATAATATTGATGAAAGAGATTATGACAATAGTAATATAGTATACTGTATCACATGGTTTGATTTTGGCAGAGTATACATAGAAGAAGAATGATGATGATGACGATGATGATGATCTGATGATGAAGATGAAGATGATGACGATGATGATGATGGTGGGTGATGACGATGATGATGACAATAAACATGATTCTTTGAATTCTTAATCAATAAACATGATCTTGAGGTTGATTGTAATGTTGGTCATGATAAATGTATGGTATTGGGTGAAATATATTAAAAATTGTAAACTACGGCAATATTTCCATTTATTTCCTAACCCTCACCCCCCTTTCCCTGACTTCCAAAAAAAGTTTCATGTACAATTTAAAACTTCCAAATGCCTTACCTTACAACCTTCACATGTATGCACGCCATAGTGAAACCCAGATGCTTTATCACTGCAAACCTTACATAAAATGTTCATATCTGCTACAAAAATCTGAAAGAAAAGAATATATATTATACATTAATTGAAAACAATTGAATTAAGCATTTCTGTACTACTATTATGTTGCCAGTGTACACTGTAACAAAGTTCATTAGAACTGGTTATTATGCTATATTTTCAACGACGATTTTACCTGATAGATACAAAAATAATATTTAACGAATGACTTAAAGACAAGCCAGTCACGTCTATGATTGGCTTACATTTGAAGAATTCATTCTTCTATGCAGTTTGAGTGATATTTCCATCATGAAATATTGTACTGTATGCTTGCTACATGATAGCCAAAGAATGGCAGCGAAGAATGCTCAACAGAAGTTGCAACGACTGTCTCAATGCTCGTACTTTGTCAAATTACGAATATTAGTCTACCACAACATTAAGAGATTGGTGACCTCATCAGCAGAGGGAACCTTGATACTTTAAGTATAAGCCTCTATATTACCAGTTTCCAAAATACTTGTCTGCATTTTAATACTCCATTATCATTGGTCAGTGTGATAATTGCTACTTGCCAGTCATCTTGAGCTGGACTACAATTAGGATTTCAACTTTGACACACTGTTTACAAATGTGAATCGGAAGTTGCACACTACTGTAGTGCGTGTTCCTGCCTATTTCGATTAGGCAAATAAATGTAAAACTGACGTTTATTTAAAGAATAGAGGCGTTAACCTCATTTTAAGTATCTAAAAGAAGTTCGCAAACCAGAATGAACTGTAATGCGAGAGTGTAACGGCAGGGAGTGACACATGTCGTGAGACAGTCTACATAACGAATGCGAGATTGATGACAATCGTATGAGTTTCGGTAATTTAAGATATGGTTTGTATCAATTGATGATCTCAATCAAATTATTTCAGATACAGGAAATTAATAGAAATGCCCATGAAATTTCCCCTCCTTATCTGGACAGCACAAAATCTAACTTAATGCAACACGAATACTAAAGTATTAAATGGATTCGGAAATGAAGCATCTCCAGGGCAACAGACAGAGGGCTTGACCTCTGACACAAGATGAAACTTGAGCCACGTATACATTCTTGATATCAGTAAACAAAACCATGCTTATTATTTCTTTAGGAATGGATGTGACTATACATACAGAAGTTGGCCAATATTTTCTCAATACATGTACTAGCCACGTGATGAGCAGACTAATCGAGTACAAAGACATACTTTCTTCACCTTCGTCCTGAACACGTGCTTCCATTAAACATCCACCTGCCATTTCATGCCACTCTGTCATCAGCAGGGCGTGTATTGACCGACAGTAGAGCGTTTTTCAAGCCAATTTTGATGTTTTTTTTTTTTAATTCACATTTTTTTTTTCATTTCTACTTATTGCTGGTACTAATACAAAATACAAGATAAAAAGATAAAAATTCATTTTATCCAATAAAAACGAAGAAATTACAAAGCACGCAAACAAAACCACATTAAAATTAATCAAGAAAATTTTGTTTTTTCCCCAATTGATCAGAATTCCAAATTCAAATTAATCTTCCACACGGTTCATACTAAGTCATTTTTACGCAAAATGCAGTGGCCTAGGCATGCTGTCCAACTGAACACCCTCATTGCCTCATCTCACTATATTATTATTATTATATTATTCATTCAAATTTACATTCATTTATATTTCAAATCAACAGAAAATCATACAAAATGAAATGACTGTAAAGGTAACGTTTTGCTTTCATCATAGCTTCATTTTCAAGAAAGCGAGTAAATTGTAACATCCACTAAAATAGGCGACGGGAAGTTTTTAGTGACATGATTAAAACCTATTATGTTAAATGTGCATAGATTATGTCAATGCAGCTATGATTACTTACATTACAGCTCCATTACAGGTTATTAGATAAACATTTTTGATAATTGCTTTAGCTATTTATTCTAGTGGCAATGTTTTAAAATATAAACTACTAACAGTACTGCAGATATCTTACAGGTATGTAGTAATGTACCAATGTCAATCCCCTTTCAGATAGACGCTTTGAAATATTGCCGTAAACATGCTGGCATGTACAGTAAAACACCGATAGTTTTTGTCTTTGAATTTTATTATATACTGTAGACTTTCAGTTTGGTTATAAATTTGTTTATTCTTTATAAATTGTATTTAACAATTAATTAATCAATTAATCAATAAAACTTAATATCAGTCTGATGATATTTATACACTTGCAATGAAGGATCAGCACTTGATTCAACTCGACTTATACAGTAGTTGGGTAACCTGTTAGAAATGTTCATTTTATAAATTAACAATATAATTAGTCGGTTTATCAAGTTGGTAATGGTTGGAGGCTTACATTCCTCAAGGCGGCGTTCAAAGAATCAGATCAGACACTAGAGCGTCTACATTCCTGAGTTGGCGGCGTTTAAAGAGAAGACTACTGTATGTGATTGACCGTGTGTCTGCTTCTCTCATGCTTCTCCTGATCGTGGGAACGTTTCTCACTGAATTCACTGTTACTAGGCAATTTGCAGTAATGCAAACTGGTGGTATATGCCTATTTCAAACAGTTTAATTCTGTTCATGACAAAGTAAGAATATCGATATGAAACAAAGTGAATTGATTTTATTTCTGAACGGGACCGGGGATACGATGTCTTCGACAAAAAATCACGAGGCAAATATTAAAACAGTGTAAATATTTATTT